ATAGCAAGAACAAGGGCCTAGCGTGTGCAAAATTGCAAGAACAAGGGCATAGCGTGTGCAATATTGCAAGAACAAGGTTCTAGCGTGTGCAAAATAGCAAGAACAAGGGCCTAGCGTGTACAAAATTGCAAGAACAAGGGCCTAGCGTGTGCAAAATTGCAAGAACAAGGGTCTAGCGTGTGCAAAATAGCAAGAACAAGGGCATAGCGTGTGCAAAATTGCAAGAACAAGGGTCTAGCGTGTGCAAAATAGCAAGAACAAGGGCCTAGCGTGTACAAAATTTCAAGAACAAGGGCCTAGCGTTTGCAAAATTGCAAGAACAAGGGTCTAGCGTGTGCAAAATAGCAAGAACGAGGGCCTAGCGTGTGCAAAATTGCAAGAACAAGGGCATAGCGTTTGCAACATTGCAAGAACAAGGGTCTAGCGTGTGCAAAATAGCAAGAACAAGGGCCTAGGGTGTGCAGATTGCAAGAACAAGGGCCTAGCGTGTGCAAAATTGCAAGAAGAAGGGCCTAGCGTGAAAATTTGCAAGAACAAGGGCCTAGCGTGCAAAATTGCAAGAACAAGGGCCTAGCGTGTGCAAAATTGCAACAACAAGGGCCTAGCGTGTGCAAAATTGCAAGAACAAGGGCCTAGTGTGTGCAAAATTGCAAGAACAAGGGTCTAGCGTGTGCAAAATAGCAAGAACAAAGGCATAGCTTGTGCAAAATTGCAAGAACAAGGGTCTAGCGTGTGCAAAATAGCAAGAACAAGGGCCAAGCGTGTGCAAAATAGCGAAAACAAGGGCCGAGCATGTGCAAAATTGCAAGAACAAGGGCCTAGCGTGTGCAAAATAGCAAGAACAAGGACCTAGCGTGTGCAAAATTGCAAGAACAAGGGCCTAGCGTGTGCACAATTGCAAGAAGAAGGGCCTAGCGTGTGGAAAATTGCAAGAACAAGGGCCTAGCATGTGCAAAATTGCTAGAACAAGGGTCTAGCGTGTGCAAAATAGCAAGAACAAGGGCCTAGCGTGTGCAAAATAGCAAGAACAAGGCCCTAGCATGTGAAAATTTGCAAGAACAAGGGCCTAGCGTGCAAAATTGCAAGAACAAGGGCCTAGCGTGTGCAAAATTGCAACAACAAGGGCCTAGCATGTGCAAAATTGCAAGAACAAGGGCCTAGTGGGTGCAAAATTGCAAGATAAAGGGTCTAGCGTGTGCAAAATAGCAAGAACAAAGGCATAGCTTGTGCAAAATTGCAAGAACAAGGGCCTAGCGTGTGCAAAATAGCAAGAACAAGGGCCTAGCGTGTGCAAACTTGCAAGAACAAGGGCCTAGCATGTGAAAAATTGCAAGAACAAGGGCCTAGCATGTGCAAAATAGCAAGAACAAGGGCCTAGCGTGTGCAAAATTGCAAGAACAAGGGCATAGCGTGTGCACAATTGCAAGAAGAAGGGCCTAGCGTGTGGAACATTGCAAGAACAAGGGCCTAGCATGTGCAACATTGCTAGAACAAGGGTCTAGCGTGTGCAAAATAGCAAAAACAAGGGCCTAGCGTGTGCAAAATTGCAAGAACAAGGCCCTAGCATGTGAAAAATTTGCAAGAACAAGGGCCTAGCGTGCAAAATTGCAAGAACAAGGGCCTAGCGTGTGCAAAATTGCAACAACAAGGGCCTAGCTTGTGCAAAATTGCAAGAACAAGGGCCTAGTGTGTGCAAAATTGCAAGAACAAGGGTCTAGCGTGTGCAAAATAGCAAAAACAAAGGCATAGCTTGTGCAAAATTGCAAGAACAAGGGTCTAGCGTGTGCAAAATAGCAAGAACAAGGGCCTAGCGTGTGCAAACTTGCAAGAACAAGGGCATAGCGTGTGCAAAATTGCAAGAACAAGGGTCTAGCGTGTGCAAAATAGCAAGAACAAGGGCCTAGCGTGTACAAAATTGCAACAACAAGGGCCTAGCGTGTGCAAAATTGCAAGAACAAGGGTCTAGCGTGTGCAAAATAGCAAGAACAAGGGCCTAGCGTGTGCAAAATTGCAAGAACAAGGGCATAGCGTGTGCAACATTGCAAGAACAAGCGTCTAGCGTGTGCAAAATAGCAAGAGCAAGGGCCTAGCGTGTGCAAAATTGCAAGAACAAGGGCCTAGCGTGTGCAAAATAGCAAGAACAAGAGCCGAGCATGTGCAAAATTGCAAGAACAAGGGCCTAGCGTGTGGAAAATAGCAAGAACAAGGGCCTAGCGTGTGCAAAATTGCAACAACAAGGGCCTAGCGTGTGCAAAATTGCAAGAACAAGGGCCTAGTGTGTGCAAAATTGCAAGAACAAGGGTCTAGCGAATGCAAAATAGCAAGAACAAAGGCATAGCTTGTGCAAAATTGCAAGAACAAGGGTCTAGCATGTGCAAAATAGCAAGAACAAGGGCCTAGCGTGTGCAAACTTGCAAGAACAAGGGCCTAGCGTATGCAAAATTGCAAAAACAAGGGCCTAGCGTGTGCAAAATAGCAAGAACAAGAGCCGAGCATGTGCAAAATTGCAAGAACAAGGGCCTAGCGTGTGCAAAATAGCAAGAACAAGAGCCGAGCATGTGCAAAATTGCAAGAACAAGGGTCTAGCGTGTGCAAAATAGCAAGAACAAGGGCCTAGCGTGTACAAAATTGCAAGAACAAGGGCCTAGCGTGTGCAAAATTGCAAAAACAAGGGTCTAGCGTGTGCAAAATAGCAAGAACAAGGGCCTAGCGTGTGCAATATTGCAAGAACAAGGTTCTAGCGTGTGCAAAATAGCAAGAACAAGGGCCTAGCGTGTACAAAATTGCAAGAACAAGGGCCTAGCGTGTGCAAAATTGCAAGAACAAGGGCATAGCGTGTGCAATATTGCAAGAACAAGGTTCTAGCGTGTGCAAAATAGCAAGAACAAGGGCCTAGCGTGTACAAAATTGCAAGAACAAGGGCCTAGCGTGTGCAAAATTGCAAGAACAAGGGTCTAGCGTGTGCAAAATAGCAAGAACAAGGGCATAGCGTGTGCAAAATTGCAAGAACAAGGGTCTAGCGTGTGCAAAATAGCAAGAACAAGGGCCTAGCGTGTACAAAATTTCAAGAACAAGGGCCTAGCGTTTGCAAAATTGCAAGAACAAGGGTCTAGCGTGTGCAAAATAGCAAGAACGAGGGCCTAGCGTGTGCAAAATTGCAAGAACAAGGGCATAGCGTTTGCAACATTGCAAGAACAAGGATCTAGCGTGTGCAAAATAGCAAGAACAAGGGCCTAGGGTGTGCAGATTGCAAGAACAAGGGCCTAGCGTGTGCAAAATTGCAAGAAGAAGGGCCTAGCGTGAAAATTTGCAAGAACAAGGGCCTAGCGTGCAAAATTGCAAGAACAAGGGCCTAGCGTGTGCAAAATTGCAACAACAAGGGCCTAGCGTGTGCAAAATTGCAAGAACAAGGGCCTAGTGTGTGCAAAATTGCAAGAACAAGGGTCTAGCGTGTGCAAAATAGCAAGAACAAAGGCATAGCTTGTGCAAAATTGCAAGAACAAGGGTCTAGCGTGTGCAAAATAGCAAGAACAAGGGCCAAGCGTGTGCAAAATAGCGAAAACAAGGGCCGAGCATGTGCAAAATTGCAAGAACAAGGGCCTAGCGTGTGCAAAATAGCAAGAACAAGGACCTAGCGTGTGCAAAATTGCAAGAACAAGGGCCTAGCGTGTGCACAATTGCAAGAAGAAGGGCCTAGCGTGTGGAAAATTGCAAGAACAAGGGCCTAGCATGTGCAAAATTGCTAGAACAAGGGTCTAGCGTGTGCAAAATAGCAAGAACAAGGGCCTAGCGTGTGCAAAATAGCAAGAACAAGGCCCTAGCATGTGAAAATTTGCAAGAACAAGGGCCTAGCGTGCAAAATTGCAAGAACAAGGGCCTAGCGTGTGCAAAATTGCAACAACAAGGGCCTAGCATGTGCAAAATTGCAAGAACAAGGGCCTAGTGGGTGCAAAATTGCAAGATAAAGGGTCTAGCGTGTGCAAAATAGCAAGAACAAAGGCATAGCTTGTGCAAAATTGCAAGAACAAGGGTCTAGCGTGTGCAAAATAGCAAGAACAAGGGCCTAGCGTGTGCAAACTTGCAAGAACAAGGGCCTAGCATGTGCAAAATTGCAAGAACAAGGGCCTAGCGTGTGCAAAATAGCAAGAACAAGGGCCTAGCGTGTGCAAAATTGCAAGAACAAGGGCATAGCGTGTGCAAAATTGCAAGAACAAGGGTCTTGCGTGTGCAAAATAGCAAGAACAAGGGCCTAGCGTGTACAAAATTGCAAGAACAAGGGCCTAGCGTGTGCAAAATTGCAAGAACAAGGGTCTAGCGTGTGCAAAATAGCAAGAACAAGGGCCTAGCGTGTGCAAACTTGCAAGAACAAGGGCCTAGCATGTGCAAAATTGCAAGAACAAGGGCCTAGCGTGTGCAAAATAGCAAGAACAAGGGCCTAGCGTGTGCAAAATTGCAAGAACAAGGGCATAGCGTGTGCAAAATTGCAAGAACAAGGGTCTTGCGTGTGCAAAATAGCAAGAACAAGGGCCTAGCGTGTACAAAATTGCAAGAACAAGGGCCTAGCGTGTGCAAAATTGCAAGAACAAGGGTCTAGCGTCTGCAAAATAGCAAGAACAATGGCCTAACGTGTGCAAAATTGCAAGAACAAGGGCATAGCGTGTGCAACATTGCAAGAACAAGGGCCTAGCGTGTGCAAAAATGCAAGAACAAGGGCCTACCATGTGAAAAATTGCAAGAACAAGGGTCTACCGTGTGCAAAATAGCAAGAACAAGGGCCTAGCGTGTGCAAATTTGCAAGAACAAGGGCCTAGCGTGTGCAAAATTGCAAGAACAAGGGTCTAGCGTGTGCAAAATAGCAAGAACAAGGGCATAGCGTGTGCAAAATTGCAAGAACAAGGGTCTAGCGTGTGCAAAATAGCAAGAACAAGATCCTAGCGTGTGCAAAATTGCAAGAGCAAGGGCCTAGCGTGTGCAAGATTGCAAGAACAAGGGTCTAGCGTATGCAAAATAGCAAGAACAAGGGCCTAGCGTGTGCAAAATTGCAAGAACAAGGGCATAGCGTGTGCAACATAGCAAGAACAAGGGTCTAACATGTGCAAAATAGCAAGAACAAGGGCCTAGCGTGTGCAAAATTGCAAGAACAAGGGCCTAGCGTGTGCAAAATTGCAAGAACAAGGGCCTAGCGTGTGCAAAAATGCAAGAACAAGGGCCTACCATGTGCAAAATTGCAAGAACAAGGACCTAGCGTGTGCAAAACGTGGACGTGGACGTGGACGTGGACGTGGACATGGACGTAGTCGTGGACGTGGACGTGGACGTGGACGTGGACGTGGACATGGACGTGGACGTGGACGTGGACATGGACGTGGACGTGGACATGGATGGGACGTGGACAAGGACGTGGACGTGGACGTGGACGTCGACATGGACGTAGACGTGGACGTGGACGTGGACATGGACGTGGACGTGGACGTGGACGTGGAGATGGACGTAGACGTGGACATGGACGTGGACGTGGACGTGGAAGTGGACGTGGCTGGGACGTGGACATGGACGTGGACGTGGACATAGACGTGGACGTGGACGTGGACGTGGACGTGGACGCGGACGTGGACATGGACGTGGACATGGACGTGGACGTGGACGTGGACATGGACGTGGACGTGGACGAGGACGTGGACGTGGACGTGGACGTGGACGTGGACATGGACGTGGACATGGAAGTGGACATGGACGTGGACGTGGACGTGCACGTGGACGTGGACGTGGACATGGACGTGGACGTGGACGTGCACGTGGACGTGGACGTGGACGTGGACGTGGACGTGGACATGGACGTGGACTTGGACGTGGAGGTGAACGTGGACGTGGACGTGGACGTGGACGTGGACGTGGACATGGACGTGGACGTGGACGTGGACGTGGACGTGGACGTGGACATGGACGTCGACGTGGACGTGGACGTGGACGTGGACGTGGACATGGACGTGGACATGGACGTGGACATGGACGTGGACATGGACGTGGACGTGGACGTAGACGTGGACGTGGACATGGACATGGACGTGGACGTGGACGTGGTCGTGGACATGGACGTGGACATGGACGTGGACATGGACGTGGACATGGACGTGGACGTGGACATGGACGTGGACATGGACGTGGACATGGACGTGGACATGGACGTGGACGTGGACGTAGACGTGGACGTGGACATGGACATGGACGTGGACGTGGACGTGGACGTGGATATGGACGTGGACGTGGACATGGACGTGGATGTGGACGTTGACGTGGACGTGGACGTGGAAATGGAGGTGGACGTGGACCTGGACGTGGAAATGGAGGTGGACGTGGACCTGGACGTGGACGTGGACAGGGACGTGGACATGGTCGTGGACGTGGACAGGGACGTGGACTTGGACATGGACGTGGACATGGACGTGGACATGGACGTGGACGTGGACGTGGACGTGGACATGGACGAGGACATGGAGATGGACGTGGACATGGACGTGGACATGGACGTGGACATGGACGTGGACGTGGTCGTGGACGTGGACGTGGACGTGGACATGGACATGGACGTGGACGTAGACGTGGACGTGGACGTGGACATGGACGTGGACGTGGACGTGGACGGGGACGTGGACGTGGACGTTTACGTGGACATGGACGTGGACGTGGACATGGACGTGGACGTGGACGCGGACATGGACGTGGACATGGACGTGGACGTGGACGTGGACATGGACGCGGACATAGACGCGGACGCGAACATGGACGCGGACATGGACGCGGACGCGGACATGGACATGGTCCTGGACGTGGACGTCGACGTGGACGTGGACATGGTCGTGGACGTGGACGTGGATGTGGACGTGGACGTGGTCGTGGACGTGGTCGTGGACGTGGACGTGGATGTGGACGTGGTCGTGGACGTGGACGTGGACGTGGACGTGGACGTGGACGTGGACGTGGACATGGACGTGGACATGGACGTGGACGTGTACGTGGACGTGGACATGGACATGGACGTGGAAGTGGAAGTGGACGTGGACATGGACGTGGAAGTGGACGTGGACGTGGACGTGGACATGGACGTGGACGTGGACGTCGACGTGGACATGGACGTGGACGTGGACGTGGACGTGGACGTGGACGTGGACATGGACGTGGACGTGGACGTGGATGTGGACGTGGACGTGGACGTGGACATGAACGTGGACGTGGACGTGGACGTGGACGTGGTCATGGACGTGGACGTGGACGTGGACGTCGACGTGGACGTGGACGTGGACGAGGACGCGAACGTGGACGTGGACGTGGACGTGGTCGTGGACGTCGACGTGGACGTGGACGTGGACCTCGACGTGGACATGGACGTGGACGTGGACATGGACGTGGACATGGACGTGGACGTGGATATGGACGTGGACATGGACGTGGACGTGGACGTGGACGTGGACGTGGTCGTGGACGTGGATGTGGACGTGGACATGGACGTGGACGTGGACGTGGACGTCAACGTGGACGTGGACGTGGACATGGACGGGACGTGGACGTGGACGTGGACATGGACGTGGACGTGGACGTGGACATAGACGTGGACGTGGACATGGACGTGGACGTGGACTTGGACGTGGACATGGTCGTGGACGTGGACCTGGACGTGGACGTGGACATGGATGTGGACACGGTCGTGGACGTGGACGTGGACGTGGACGTGGACGTCGACGTGGACATGGACGTGGACGTAGACGTGGACGTGGACGTAGACGTGGACATGGTCGTGGACGTGGACGTGGAAGTGGACGTGGTCGTGGTCGTGGTCGTGGACATGGACGTGGACGTGGACGTAGACGTGGACGTGGACGTCGACGTGGACGTGGTCGTGGACGTGGACGTGAACGTAGACTTGGACGTGGACGTGGACGTGGACATGGACGTGGACAGGGAAGTGGACGTGGACGTGGACGTGGACATGGAAGTGGACATGGACATGGACGTGGACGTGGACGTGGTCGTGGACATGGACGTGGACGTGGACATGGACGTGGACGTGGACGTGGACGTGGACGTAGACGTGGACGTGGACAAGGACGTGGACGTGGACGTGGACGTGGACGTGGACGTGGACGTGGACGTGGACGTGGACGTGAACGTGGACGTGGACGTGGACATGGACGTGGACATGGACGTGGACATGGACGTGAACGTGGACGTGGACGTGGACGTGGACGTGGACATGGACGTGGACGTGGACGTGCACGTGGACGTGGACGTGGACGTGGACGTGGACATGGACGTGGACTTGGACGTGGAGGTGAACGTGGACGTGGACGTGGACGTGGACGTGGACGTGGACATGGACGTGGACGTGGACGTGGACGTGGACGTGGACGTGGACATGGACGTCGACGTGGACGTGGACGTGGACGTGGACGTGGACGTGGACATGGACGTGGACATGGACGTGGACATGGACATGGACGTGGACGTGGACGTGGACGTAGACGTGGACGTGGACATGGACATGGACGTGGACGTGGACGTGGACGTGGTCGTGGACGTGGACGTGGACGTGGACGTTGACGTCGACATGGACGTGGACGTGGACGTGGACGTGGACGTGGACGTGGAAATGGAGGTGGACGTGGACCTGGACGTAGACGTGGACGTTGACGTGGACATGGTCGTGGACGTGGACAGGGACGTGGACTTGGACGTTGACGTCGACATGGACGTGGACGTGGACATGGATGTGGACGTGGACGTGGACATGGACGTGGACATGGAGATGGACGTGGACATGGACATGGACGTGGACATGGACGTGGACATGGACGTGGACGTGGTCGTGGACGTGGACGTGGACGTGGACATGGACATGGACGTGGACGTGGACGTAGACGTGGACGTGGACGTGGACATGGACGTGGACGTGGACGTGGACGTGGACGGGGACGTGGACGTGGACGTTTATGTGGACATGGACGTGGACGTGAACATGGACGTGGACGTGGACGCGGACATGGACGTGGACATGGACGTGGACGTGGACGTGGACATGGACGCGGACATAGACGCGGACGCGAACATGGACGCGGACATGGACGCGGACGCAGACATGGACATGGTCCTGGACGTGGACGTCGACGTGGACGTGGACGTGGTCGTGGACGTGGACGTGGATGTGGACGTGGACGTGGTCGTGGACGTGGTCGTGGATGTGGTCGTGGATGTGGACGTGGTCGTGGACGTGGACGTGGACGTGGACGTGGACGTGGACGTGGACGTGGACGTGGACATGGACGTGGACATGGACGTGGACGTGTACGTGGACGTGGACATGGACATGGACGTGGAAGTGGAAGTGGACGTGGACATGGACGTGGAAGTGGACGTGGACGTGGACATGGACGTGGACGTGGACGTCGACGTGGACATGGACGTGGACGTGGACGTGGACATGGACGTGGACGTGGACGTGGACGTGGACGTGGACGTGGACGTGGACATGGACGTGGACGTGGACGTGGACGTGGACGTGGTCGTGGACGTGGACGTGGACGTGGACGTCGACGTGGACGTGGACGTGGACGTGGACGTGGACGTGGACGTGGTCGTGGACGTCGACGTGGACGTGGACGTGGACGTCGACGTGGACATGGACGTGGACGTGGACATGGACGTGGACATGGACGTGGACGTGGATATGGACGTGGACATGGACGTGGACGTGGAGGTGGACGTGGATATGGACATGGACGTGGATGTGGACATGGACGTGGACGTGGACAGGGACGTGGACGTGGACGTTGACGTCGACATGGACGTGGACGTGGACATGGACGTGGACGTGGACGTGGACGTGGACATGGACGTGGACATGGAGATGGACGTGGACATGGACATGGACGTGGACATGGACGTGGACGTGGACGTGGACGTGGACGTGGTCGTGGACGTGGACGTGGACGTGGACGTCGACGTGGACGTGGACGTAGACGTAGACGTGGACGTGGACATGGACGTGGACGTGGACGTGGACGTGGACGGGGACGTGGACGTGGACGTTTACGTGGACATGGACGTGGACGTGGACATGGACGTGGACGTGGACGTGGACCCGGACATGGACGTGGACATGGACGTGGACGTGGACGTGGACATGGACGCGGACATAGACGCGGACGCGGACATGGACGCGGACATGGACGCGGACGCGGACATGGACATGGTCCTGGACGTGGACGTCGACGTGGACGTGGACGTGGTTGTGGACGTGGACGTGGATGTGGACGTGGACGTGGTCGTGGACGTGGACGTGGACGTGGACGTGGACGTGGACGTGCACGTGGACGTGAACGTGGACGTGGACGTGGACGTGGACGTGGACATGGACGTGGAAGTGGACATGGACATGGACGTGGAAGTGGACGTGGACGTGGACGTGGACGTGGACGTGGACATGGACGTGGACATGGATGTGGACGTGGACGTGGACGTGGACGTGGACGTGGACGTGGACGTGGACATGGACGTCGACGTGGACGTGGACGTGGTCGTGGACGTGGACGTGGATGTGGACATGGACGTCGACGTGGACGTGGACGTGGACATGGACGTGGACGTGGACGTGGACGTGGTCGTGGACGTGGACGTGGACATAGACGTGGACGTGGACGTGGACATGGACGTGGACGTGGACGTGGACGTGGACATGGACGTGGACGTGGACCTAGACGTGGACGTGGACGTGGACGTGGACATGGTCGTGGACGTGGACCTGTACGTGGACGTGGACGTGGACGTGGATGTGGACGTGGACGTGGACATGGACGTGGACGTGGACATGGACGTGGACGTGGACGTGGAGAGGGACGTGGACGTGGACGTGGACGTCGACATGGACGTGGACGGGGACGTGGACGTGGACAGGGACGTGGACGTGGACGTGGTCGTGGACGTGGACGTGGACGTGGACGTGGACATGTAGGTGGACGTGGACGTGAACATGGACGTGGAGGACGTGGACGTTGACGTGGACGTGGACATGGACGTGGTCATGGACGTGGAGGACTTGGACGTGGACGTGGACGTGGACGTGGACATGGACGTGGTCGTGGACGTGGACGTAGACGTGGACGTGGACCTGGACGTGGACTTGGACGTGGACGTGGACGTGGACATGGACGTGGACGTGGACGTGGATATGGACGTGGACATGGACGTGGACGTGGACGTGGACATGGACGTGGACGTGGAAGTCGACATGGACGTGGACGTGGAGGTGGACGTGGACTTGGACGTGGACGTGGACGTGGACATGGACGTAGACGTGGACGTGGACGTGGATGTGGACGTTGTCGTGGACGTGGACGTGGACGTGGACGTTGTCGTGGACGTGGACGTGGACGTGGTCGTGGACATGGACGTGGACATGGTCGTAGACGTGGACGTGGACGTGGAGGACTTGAACGTGGACTGGACGTGGACGTGGACGTGGACGTCGATGTGGACATGGACGTGGACGTGGACGTGGACGTGGACATGGACGTGGACGTGGACGTGGACATGGATGTGGACGTGGACATGGACGTGGACGTGGACGTGGACGTGGACGTGGACGTGGTTGTGGACGTGGACGTGGACGTGGACGTGGACGTGGACATGGACGTGGACATGGACGTGGACGTGGACGTGGTCGTGGACGTGGACGTGGACATGGACGTGGACGTGGACGTGGAGGACTTGAACGTGGACTGGACGTGGATGTGGACGTGGACGTCAACGTGGACATGGACGTGGACATAGACGTGAACGTGGACGTGGACATGGTCGTGGACGTGGATGTGGAGGACTTGGACGTGGACATGGACGTGGACGTGGACGTGGACGTGGACATGGACGTGGACGTGGACGTGGACGTGGACGTCGATATGGACGTGGACATGGACGTGGACGTGGACGTGGACGTGGACATGGACGTGGACGTGGAAGTGGACGTGGACGTGGTCGTGGACGTCGACATGGACGTGGACATGGAGGTGGACGTGGACGTGGAAGACTTGAACGTGGACTGGACGTGGACGTGGACGTGGACGTGAACGTCGACGTGGACATGGACCTGGACGTGGACGTGGACGTGAACATGGACGTGGACATGGACGTGGACGTGGACGTGGACGTGAACATGGACGTGGACGTGGACGTGGACATGAACGTGGACGTGGACATGGACGTGGACATGGACGTAGACGTGGACGTGGACATGGAGGTGGACGTGGAGGTGGACATGGACGTGGACGAGGACGTGGACATGGACGTGGACGTGGACGTGGATGTGGATGTGGACGTGGAGATGGACGTGGACGTGGACGTGGACAAGGACGTGGACGTGGACGTGGACGTCGACCTGGACGTGGACGTGGACATGGACGTGGACGTGGACAGGGACGTGGACGTAGACATGGACGTGGACGTGGACAGGGACGTGGACGTCGACATGGACGTGGACGTGGACGTGGACGTGGACGTGGACGTGGACGTGGACGTGGACCTAGACCTGGACGTGGACGTGGACATGGACGTGGACGTGGACGTGGACGTGGTCGTGGACGTGGACGTGGACATGGACGTGGACGTGGACGTGGACGTGGACGTGGGCGTGGTTGTGGACGTGGACGTGGACGTGGACGTGGACGTGGACGTGGACGTGGACGTGGACGTGGACGTGGACGTGGACGTGGTCGTGGACGTGGACGTGGACGTGGACGTGGACATATAGGTGGACGTGGACGTGAACATGGACGTGGAGGACGTGGACGTTGACGTGGTCTTGGATATGGACGTGGTCGTGGACGTGGAGGACTTGGACGTGGACGTGGACATGGACGTGGACATGGACGTGGTCGTGGACGTGGACGTAGACGTGGACGTGGACCCGGACGTGGACTTGGACGTGGACGTGGACGTGGACATGGACGTGGACGTGGACGTGGACGTGGATATGGACGTGGACATGGACGTGGACGTGGACGTGGACATGGACGTGGACGTGGACGTGGACGTCGACATGGACTTTGACGTGGAGGTGAACGTGGACGTGGACGTGGACGTGGACGTGGACGTGGACGTGGACATGGACGTGGACGTGGACGTGGACGTGGATGTGGACGTTGTCGTGGACGTGGACGTGGACGTTGTCGTGGACGTGGACGTGGACATGGTCGTCGACGTGGACGTGGACATGGAGGACTTGAACGTGGACTGGACGTGGACGTGGACGTGGCCGTCGACGTGGACATGGACGTGGACGTGGACGTGGACATGGACGTGGATTTGGACGTGGACATGGACGTGGACGTGGACGTGGACATGGACATGGATGTGGACATGGACGTGGACGTGGACGTGGACGTGGACATGGACATGGACGTGCACGTGGACGTGGACGTGGTTGTGGACGTGGACGTGGACGTGGACGTGGACATGGACGTGGACGTGGACGTGGACGTGGACGTGGACGTGGTCGTGGACGTGGACGTGGAGGACTTGAACGTGGACTGGACGTGGACGTGGACGTGGACGTGGACGTCAACGTGGACATGGACGTGGACGAGGACGTGGACATGGACGTGGACGTGGACGTGGACGTGGACGTGGATGTGGAGGACTTGGACGTGGACATGGACGTGGATGTGGACGTGGACATGGACGTGGACGTGATCGTGGACGTGAACGTGGACGTGGACGTGGACATGGATGTGGACGTGGACGTGGACGTGGATATGGACGTGGACATGGACGTGGACATGGACGTGGACGTGGACATGGACATGGACGTGGACAGGGACGTGGACGTGGACGTCGACATGGACGTGGACATGGAGGTGGACGTGGACATGGACGTGGACGTGGACGTGGAAATGGACGTGGACGTGGACGTGGACGTGGTCGTGGACGTGGACGTGGACATGGACCTGGACGTGGACGTGGACGTGGAGGACTTGAACGTGGACTGGACGTGGACGTGGACGTGGACGTGAACGTCGACGTGGACATGGACGTGGACGTGGACGTGGACGTGGACATGAACGTGGACGTGGACGTGGACATGGAGGTGGACGTGGACGTGGACATGGACGTGGACGAGGACGTGGACATGGACGTGGACGTGGACGTGGATGTGGATGTGGACGTGGAGATGGACGTGGACGTGGACGTGGACAGGGACGTGGACGTGGACGTGGACGTCGACATGGACGTGGACGTGGACATGGACGTGGACGTGGACAGGGACGTGGACGTGGACGTCGACATGGACGTGGACGTGGAGGTCGACGTGGACGTGGACGTGGACGTGGACATGGACGTGGACGTGGACGTGGACGTGGACGTGGACGTGGACGTGGTCGTGGACGTGGACGTGGACATGGACGTGGACGTGGACGTGTACGTGGAGGACTTGAACGTGGACTGGACGTGGACATGGGCGTGGACGTGGACGTGGACGTGGACGTAGACATGGACGTGGACGTGGACGTGGACATGAACGTGGACGTGGACGTGGACGTGGACATGGACGTGGACGTGGACGTGGACATGGAGGTGGACGAGGATGTGGACATGGACGTGGACGAGGACGTGGACATGGACGTGGACGTGGATGTGGACGTGGACATGGACATGGACGTGGACGTGGACGTCGACATGGACGTGGACGTGGAGGTGGATGTAGACGAGGACGTGGACGTGGACGTGGACGTGGACGTAGACATCGACTTGGACGTGGACAGGGACGTGGACGTGGACGTGGACGTCGACATGGACGTGGACGTGGACATGGACGTGGACGTGGACAGGGACGTGGACGTGGACGTGGACGTCGACATGGACGTGGACGTGGAGGTCGACGTGGACGTGGACGTGGACGTGGACGTGGACATGGACGTGGACGTGGACGTGGATGTGGACGTGGACGTGGTCATTGACGTGGACGTGGACATGGACGTGGACGTGGACGTGTACGTGGAGGACTTGAACGTGGACTGGACGTGGACATGGGCGTGGACGTGGACGTGGACGTGGACATGGACGTGGACGTGGACGTGTACGTGGAGGACTTGAACGTGGACTGGACGTGGACATGGGCGTGGACGTGGACGTGGACGTGGACGTGGACGTGGACGTGGACGTGGACGTAGACGTGGACGTGGACGTGGACGTAGACGTGGACGTGGACATGGACGTGGACGTGGACGTGGACGTGGTCGTGGACATGGACGTGGACATGGACGTGGACGTGGAGTGGACGTGGACATGGACGTGGACGTGGAGGACTTCAACGTGGACTAGATGTGGACGTGGACGTCGACGTGGACATGGACGTGGACGTGGACGTGGACGTGGACGTGGACGTGAACCTGGACGTGGACGTCGACGTGGAGGACTTGGACATGGACATGGACGTGGACATGGACGTGGACGTGGACGTGAACATGGATGTGGACGTAGACGTGGACGTGGACGTGGACATGGACGTGGACGTGGACGTGGACGTGGATATGGACGTGGACGTCGACGTGGACGTGGACGTGGATATGGACGTGGACATGGACGTGGACATGGACGTGGACATGGACGTGGACGTGGACGTGGACGTGGACGTGGATATGGACGTGGACGTGGACGTGGAGATGGACGTGGACATGGACGACATGGACGTGGACATGGACGTGGACGTGGACGTGGACATGGACGTGGACGTGGACGTGGACGTGGACGTGGACGTGGACGTGGACATGGACGTGGACGTGGACGTGGACGTGGACGTGGACATGGACGTGGACGTGGACGTGGACGTGGACGTGGACCTGGAAGTGGACGGTGACGTGGACGTGGACGTGGACGTGGACATGGCGAGGACGTGGACGAGGACATGGACGTGGACGTGGACGTGGACGTGGACATGGACGTGGACGTGGACGTGGACGTGGACGTGGACGGGGACGTGGACGTGGAGGACTTGGACGTGGACATGGACGTGGACGTGGACAGGGACGTCGACATGGACGTGGACGTCGACATGGACGTGGACATGGACAGGGACGTGGACGTGGACGTCGACGTGGACGTGGACGTGGATATGGACGTGGACATGGACGTGGACATGGACGTGGACATGGACGTGGACGTGGACGTGGACGTGGATATGGACGTGGACGTGGACGTGGATATGGACGTGGACATGGACGTGGACATGGACGTGGACATGGACGTGGACGTGGACGTGGACATGGACGTGGACGTGGACGTGGACGTGGACGTGGACATGGACGTGGACGTGGACGTGGACGTGGACGTGGACATGGACGTGGACGTGGACGTGGACGTGGACGTGGACCTGGAAGTGGACGTGGACGTGGACGTGGACGTCGACGTGGAGGACTTGGACATGGACATGGACGTGGACATGGACGTGGACGTGGACGTGAACATGGATGTGGACGTAGACGTGGACGTGGACGTGGACATGGACGTGGACGTGGACGTGGACGTGGATATGGACGTGGACGTCGACGTGGACGTGGACGTGGATATGGACGTGGACATGGACGTGGACATGGACGTGGACATGGACGTGGACGTGGACGTGGACGTGGACGTGGATATGGACGTGGACGTGGACGTGGAGATGGACGTGGACATGGACGTGGACATGGACGTGGACATGGACGTGGACGTGGACGTGGACATGGACGTGGACGTGGACGTGGACGTGGACGTGGACGTGGACGTGGACATGGACGTGGACGTGGACGTGGACATGGACGTGGACGTGGACGTGGACGTGGACGTGGACCTGGAAGTGGACGGTGACGTGGACGTGGACGTGGACGTGGACGTGGACATGGCGAGGACGTGGACGAGGACATGGACGTGGACGTGGACGTGGACGTGGACATGGACGTGGACGTGGACGTGGACGTGGACGTGGACGGGGACGTGGACGTGGAGGACTTGGACGTGGACATGGACGTGGACGTGGACAGGGATGTCGACATGGACGTGGACGTCGACATGGACGTGGACATGGACAGGGACGTGGACGTGGACGTCGACGTGGACGTGGACGTGGATATGGACGTGGACATGGACGTGGACATGGACGTGGACATGGACGTGGACGTGGACGTGGACGTGGACGTGGATATGGACGTGGACGTGGACGTGGATATGGACGTGGACATGGACGTGGACATGGACGTGGACATGGACGTGGACGTGGACGTGGACATGGACGTGGACGTGGACGTGGACGTGGACGTGGACGTGGACATGGACGTGGACGTGGACGTGGACGTGGACGTGGACATGGACGTGGACGTGGACGTGGACGTGGACGTGGACCTGGAAGTGGACGTGGACGTGGACGTGGACGTGGACGTGGACATGGCGAGGACGTGGACGAGGACGTGGACGTGGACGTGGACGTGGACGTGAACAGGGACGTGGACGTGGACGTGGACGTGGAGGTGGACGTGGATTTGGACGTGGACGTGGACGTGGACGTGGACCACGTGGACGTGGACGTGGACATAGACGTGGACGTGGACGTGGACGTCGACATGGACGTGGACATGGACGTGGACGTGGACGTGAACATGGACGTGGATGTGGACGTGGACGTGGACGTGGACATGGACGTAGACGTGGACGTGAACGTGGACTTGGACGTGGACGTGGACGTGGACATGGACGTAGACGTGGACGTGGATGTGGACGTGGACGTGGACGTGGAGGACTTGGACGTGGACATGGACGTGGACGTGGACGTGAACATGGACGTGGATGTGGACGTGGACGTGGACGTGGACGTGGACATGGACGTGGACATGGACATGGACGCGGACGTGGACGTGGACATGGACGTGAACATGGACGTGGACGTGGAGGTGGACGTGGACGTGGACGTGGACATGGACGTGAACGTGGACATGGACATGGACGTGGACATGGACGTGGACATGGACGTGGACGTGGACGTGGACGTGGGGACATAGACGTGAACGTGGACGTGGACGTGGACGTGGACGTGGACATGGACGTGGACGTGGACGTGGAGGACTTGGACGTGGACATGGACGTGGACGTGGACGTGGATGTGGACGTGGACGTGGACGTGGACATGGACGTGGACGTGGACGTGGCATGGACGTGGACGTAGACATGGACGTGGACGTGGACGTGGACATGGACGTGGACGTGGACGTGGAGGACATGGACGTGGACATGGACGTGGACGTGGACGTGGACGTGGACATGGACGTGGACGTGGACGTGGATGTGGACGTGGACGTGGACGTGGTCGTGGACGTGGACGTGGACGTGGACGTGGACGTGGACGTGGAGGACTTGGACGTGGACATGGATGTGGACGTGGACGTGGACGTGGTCATGGACGTGGACGTGGACGTGGACATGGACGTGGACGTGGAGGACTTGGACGTGGACATGGACGTGGACGTGGACATGGACGTGGACGTGGACGTGGACGTGGACGTGGTCATGGACGTGGACGTGGACGTGGACGTGGACGTGGTCGTGGACATGGACGTGGACATGGCCATGGACGTGGACGTGGACGTGGACGTGGACGTGGAGGACTTGAACGTGGACTAGACGTGGACGTGGACGTGGACGTGGACGTGGACGTGGACATGGACGTGGACGTGGACGTGGACGTGGACGTGGACCTGGATGTGGACGTGGACGTGGACGTGGAGGACTTGGACGTGGACCTGGACGTGGACATGGACGTGGACGTGGACGTGAACATGGACGTGGATGTGGACGTGGACGTGGACGTGGACATGTAGGTGGACGTGGACGTGAACATGGACGTGGAGGACGTGGACGTTGACGTGGTCTTGGATATGGACGTGGTCGTGGACGTGGAGGACTTGGACGTGGACGTGGACATGGACGTGGACATGGACGTGGTCGTGGACGTGGACGTAGACGTGGACGTGGACCTGGACGTGGACTTGGACGTGGACGTGGACGTGGACATGGACGTGGACGTGGACGTGGACGTGGATATGGACGTGGACATGGACGTGGACGTGGACGTGGACGTGGACCTGGAAGTGGACGTGGACGTGGACGTGGACGTGGACGTGGACATGGCGAGGACGTGGACGAGGACGTGGACGTGGACGTGGACGTGGACGTGAACAGGGACGTGGACGTGGACGTGGACGTGGAGGTGGACGTGGATTTGGACGTGGACGTGGACGTGGACGTGGACCACGTGGACGTGGACGTGGACATAGACGTGGACGTGGACGTGGACGTCGACATGGACGTGGACATGGACGTGGACGTGGACGTGAACATGGACGTGGATGTGGACGTGGACGTGGACGTGGACATGGACGTAGACGTGGACGTGAACGTGGACTTGGACGTGGACGTGGACGTGGACATGGACGTAGACGTGGACGTGGATGTGGACGTGGACGTGGACGTGGAGGACTTGGACGTGGACATGGACGTGGACGTGGACGTGAACATGGACGTGGATGTGGACGTGGACGTGGACGTGGACGTGGACATGGACGTGGACATGGACATGGACGCGGACGTGGACGTGGACATGGACGTGAACATGGACGTGGACGTGGAGGTGGACGTGGACGTGGACGTGGACATGGACGTGAACGTGGACATGGACATGGACGTGGACATGGACGTGGACATGGACGTGGACGTGGACGTGGACGTGGGGACATAGACGTGAACGTGGACGTGGACGTGGACGTGGACGTGGACATGGACGTGGACGTGGACGTGGAGGACTTGGACGTGGACATGGACGTGGACGTGGACGTGGATGTGGACGTGGACGTGGACGTGGACATGGACGTGGACGTGGACGTGGCATGGACGTGGACGTAGACATGGACGTGGACGTGGACGTGGACATGGACGTGGACGTGGACGTGGAGGACATGGACGTGGACATGGACGTGGACGTGGACGTGGACGTGGACATGGACGTGGACGTGGACGTGGATGTGGACGTGGACGTGGACGTGGTCGTGGACGTGGACGTGGACGTGGACGTGGACGTGGACGTGGAGGACTTGGACGTGGACATGGATGTGGACGTGGACGTGGACGTGGTCATGGACGTGGACGTGGACGTGGACATGGACGTGGACGTGGAGGACTTGGACGTGGACATGGACGTGGACGTGGACATGGACGTGGACGTGGACGTGGACGTGGACGTGGTCATGGACGTGGACGTGGACGTGGACGTGGACGTGGTCGTGGACATGGACGTGGACATGGCCATGGACGTGGACGTGGACGTGGACGTGGACGTGGAGGACTTGAACGTGGACTAGACGTGGACGTGGACGTGGACGTGGACGTGGACGTGGACATGGACGTGGACGTGGACGTGGACGTGGACGTGGACCTGGATGTGGACGTGGACGTGGACGTGGAGGACTTGGACGTGGACCTGGACGTGGACATGGACGTGGACGTGGACGTGAACATGGACGTGGATGTGGACGTGGACGTGGACGTGGACATGTAGGTGGACGTGGACGTGAACATGGACGTGGAGGACGTGGACGTTGACGTGGTCTTGGATATGGACGTGGTCGTGGACGTGGAGGACTTGGACGTGGACGTGGACATGGACGTGGACATGGACGTGGTCGTGGACGTGGACGTAGACGTGGACGTGGACCTGGACGTGGACTTGGACGTGGACGTGGACGTGGACATGGACGTGGACGTGGACGTGGACGTGGATATGGACGTGGACATGGACGTGGACGTGGACGTGGACGTGGACATGGACGTGGACGTGGACGTGGACGTCGACCTGGACGTTGACGTGGAGGTGGACGTGGATGTGGACGTGGACGTGGACGTGGACGTGGACGTGGACGTGGACGTGGACGTGGACGTGGATGTGGACGTGGACGTGGACGTGGACGTGGACGTTGTCGTGGACGTGGACGTGGACGTTGTCGTGGACGTGGACGTGGACATGGTCGTGGACGTGGACGTGGAGGACTTGAACGTGGACTGGACGTGGACGTGGACATGGACGTCGACGTGGAGATGGACGTGGACGTGGACGTGGACGTGGACATGGACGTGGATGTGGACGTGGACATGGACGTGGACGTGGACGTGGACGTGGACGTGGACGTGGACATGGATGTGGACATGGACGTGGACGTGGACGTGGACGTGGACATGGACGTGGACGTGGACGTGGACGTGGACATGGACATGGACGTGGACGTGGACATGGACGTGGACATGGACGTGGACGTGGACGTGGACGTGGTCGTGGACGTGGACGTGGAGGACTTGAACGTGGACTGGACGTGGACGTGGACGTGGACGTGGACGTCAACGTGGACATGGACGTGGACGTGGACGTGGACGTGGACATGGACGTGGACGTGGATGTGGAGGACTTGGACGTGGACATGGACGTGGATGTGGACGTGGACATGGACGTGGACGTGGACGTGGACGTGGACGTGGACGTGGACATGGACGTGGACGTGGACGTGGACGTGGATATGGACATGGACATGGACGTGGGCATGGACGTGGACGTGGACATGGACGTGGACGTGGACAGGGACGTGGACGTGGACGTGGACGTCGACATGGACGTGGACATGGAGGTGGACGTGGACGTGGACGTGGACGTGGACATGGACGTGGACGTGGACGTGGACGTGGACGTGGTCGTGGACGTGGACGTGGACATGGACCTGGACGTGGACGTGGACGTGGAGGACTTGAACGTGGACTGGACGTGGACGTGGACGTGGACGTGAACGTCGACGTGGACATGGACGTGGACGTGGACGTGGACGTGGACGTGAACATGGACGTGGACGTGGACGTGGACATGAACGTGGACGTGGACATGGACATGGACGTGGACGAGGACGTGGACATGGACGTGGACGTGGACGTGGACGTGGATGTGGATGTGGACGTGGAGATGGACGTGGACGTGGACGTGGACAGGGACGTGGACGTGGACGTGGACGTCGACATGGACGTGGACGTGGACATGGACATGGAAGTGGACGTGGACAGGGACGTGGACGTGGACGTGGAGGTCGACATGGACGTGGACGTGGAGGTCGACGTGGACGTGGACGTGGACGTGGACGTGAACATGGACGTGGACGTGGACGTGGACGTGGACGTGGACGTGGTCGTGGACGTGGACGTGGACATGGACGTGGACGTGGACGTGTACGTGGAGGACTTGAACGTGGACTGGACGTGGACATGGGCGTGGACGTGGACGTGGACGTGGACGTAGACATGGACGTGGACGTGGACGTGGACATGAACGTGGACGTGGACGTGGACGTGGACATGGACGTGGACGTGGACGTGGACATAGAGGTGGACGAGGATGTGGACATGGACGTGGACGAGGACGTGGACATGGACGTGGACGTGGATGTGGACGTGGACGTGGACGTCGACATGGACGTGGACGTGGAGGTGGACGTGGACGAGGACGTGGACGTGGACGTGGACGTGGACGTGGACGTAGACATCGACCTGGACGTGGACGTGGAGATGGACGTGGACGTGGACGTGGACGTAGACGTGGACGTGGACATGGACGTGGACGTGGACATGGACGTGGAGATGGATGTGGACGTGGACGTGGACGTGGACGTGGTCGTGGACGTGGACGTGGAGGTGGACATGGACGTCGACGTGGAGGACTTGGATGTGGACATGGACGTGGACGTGGACATGGACGTGGACGTGGACGTTGACGTGGACGTGGTCGTGGACGTGGACGTGGACGTGGTCGTGGACATGGACGTGGACATGGACGTGGACGTGCACGTGGACGTGGAGTGGACGTGGACGTGGACGTGGACGTGGAGGACTTGAACGTGGACTAGACGTGGACGTGGACGTGGACGTGGACGTCGATGTGGACATGAACGTGGACCTGGACGTGGACGTGGACCTGGACGTGGACGTGGACGTGGACGTGGACATGGACGTGGACATGGACGTGGACGTGGACGTGAACATGGATGTGGATGTAGACGTGGACGTGGACGTGGACATGGACGTGGACATGGTCGTGGACGTGGATATGGACGTGGACATGGACGTGGACATGGACGTGGACATGGACGTGGACGTGGACATGGACGTGGACATGGACGTGGACGTGGACGTGGACATGGACGTGGACGTGGACATAGACATGGACGTGGACGTGGACGTGGACGTGGACATGGACATGGACATGGACATGGACGTGGACGTGGACGTGGACGTGGACATGGACGTGGACATGGACATGGACGTGGACGTGGACGAGGACATGGACATGGACGTGGACGTGGACGTGGACAGGGACGTGGACGTGGACGTGGACGTCGACATGGACGTGGACGTGGAGGTGGACGTGGATGTGGACGTGGACGTGGACGTGGACATGGACGTGGACGTGGACGTGGACGTGGACGTGGATGTGGTCGTGGACGTGGACGTGGACATGGACGTGGACGTGGACGTGGAGGACTTGAACGTGGACTGGACGTGGACGTCGACGTGGACGTCGACGTGGACATGGGCGTGGACGTGGACGTGGACGTGGACGTGGACAAGGACGTGGACGTGGACATGAACGTGGACGTGGACGTGGACGTGGACATGGACGTGGACGTGGACGTGGACATGGAGGTGGACGAGGATGTGGACATGGACGTGCACGAGGATGTGGACATGGACGCGGACGTGGACGTGGACGTGGACATGGACGTGGACGTGGACGTGGACGTCGACATGGACGTGGACATGGACGTGGACGTGGACGTGAACATGGACGTGGATGTGGACGTGGACGTGGACGTGGACATGGACGTGGACGTGGACGTGGACGTGGAGATGGACGTGGACATGGACGTTTACATGGACGTGGATATGGACGTGGACGTGGACGTGGACATGGACGTGGACGTGGACGTGGACGTGGACATGGACGTGGACATGGACATGGACGTGGACGTGGACATGGACGTGGACGTGGACGTGGACGTGGACATGGAAGTGGACGTGGACGTGGACGTGGACGTGGACATGGACGTGGACGTGGACGTGGACATGGACTTGGACGTGGACGTGGACATGGACGTGAACGTGGACGTGGACGTGGACCTGGACGTGGACGTGGACGTAGACGTGGACATTGTCGTGGACGTGGACGTGGACGTGGTCGTGGACGTTGACGTGGACGTGAACGTGGACTTGGACGTGGACGTGGACGTGGACATGGACGTAGACGTGGACGTGGATGTGGACGTGGACGTGGACGTGGAGGACTTGGACGTGGACATGGACGTGGACGTGGACGTGAACATGGACGTGGATGTGGACGTGGACGTGGACGTGGACATGGACGTGGACATGGACATGAACGCGGACGTGGACGTGGACATGGACGTGAACATGGACGTGGACGTGGAGGTGGACGTGGACATGGACGTGGACGTGGACGTGGACATGGACGTGAACGTGGACATGGACATGGACGTGGACATGGACGTGGACATGGACGTGGACGTGGACGTGGACGTGGGGACATAGACGTGAACGTGGACGTGGACGTGGACGTGGACGTGGACATGGACGTGGACGTGGACGTGGAGGACTTGGACGTGGACATGGACGTGGACGTGGACGTGGATGTGGACGTGGACGTGGACGTGGACATGGACGTGGACGTGGACGTGGCATGGACGTGGACGTAGACATGGACGTGGACGTGGACGTGGACATGGACGTGGACGTGGACGTGGAGGACATGGACGTGGACATGGACGTGGACGTAGACGTGGACGTGGACGTGGACATGGACATGGACGTGGACGTGGACGTGGACATGGACGTGGAGATGGATGTGGACGTGGACGTGGACGTGGACGTGGTCGTGGACGTGAACGTGGACGTGGACATGGACGTGGACGTGGAGGACTTGGACGTGGACATGGACGTGGACGTGGACATGGACGTGGACGTGGACGTGGACGTGGACGTGGTCGTGGACGTGGACGTGGACGTGGACGTGGTCGTGGACATGGACGTGGACATGGACGTGGACGTGGACGTGGACGTGGAGTGGACGTGGACGTGGACGTGGACGTGGAGGACTTGAACGTGGACTAGACGTGGACGTGGACGTGGACGTGGACGTGGACATGGACGTGGACGTGGACGTGGACGTGGACCTGGACGTGGACGTGGACGTGGACGTGGAGGACTTGGACGTGGACATGGACATGGACATGGACATGGACGTGGACGTGAACATGGACGTGGATGTGGACGTGGACGTGGACGTGGACATGGACGTGGACGTGGACGTGGACGTGGAGATGGACGTGGACATGGACGTTTACATGGACGTGGACATGGACGTGGACGTGGACGTGGACATGGACGTGGACGTGGACGTGGACGTGGACGTGGACGTGGACGTGGACGTGGACATGGACGTGGACGTGGAGATGGACGTGGACGTGGACGTGGACGTGGACGTGGACGTGGACGTGGACGTGGACATGGACATGGAAGTGGAGGTGGACGTGGACGTGGACGTGGACGTGGACATGGACGTGGACGTGGACGTGGACATGGACGTGGACGTGGACGTGGACATGGACGTGAACGTGGACGTGGACGTGGACCTGGACGTGGACGTGGACGTAGACGTGGACATTGTCGTGGACGTGGACGTGGACGTGGACGTGGTCGTGGACGTTGACGTGGACGTGAACGTGGACTTGGACGTGGACGTGGACGTGGACATGGACGTAGACGTGGACGTGGATGTGGACGTGGACGTGGACGTGGAGGACTTGGACGTGGACATGGACGTGGACGTGGACGTGGACGTGGACATGAACGTGGACGTGGACGTGGACGTGGATGTGGACGTGGACGTCGACGTGGACATGGGCGTGGACGTGGACGTGGACGTGGACGTGGACTTGGACATGGACGTGGACGTGGACGTGGACATGAACGTGGACGTGGACGTGGACATGGACGTGGACGTGGACGTGGACATGGAGGTGGACGAGGACGTGGACATGGACGTGGACGAGGACGTAGACATGGACGTGGACGTGGACGTGGACATGGACGTGGACGTGGACGTCGACGTTGACATGGACGTGGACGTGGAGGTGGACGTGGACGTGGACGTGGACGTGGACATTGACCTGGACGTGGACATGGACGTGGACGTGGACGTGGATGTGGACGTGGACGTGGAGATGGACGTTGACGTCGACGTGGACGTAGACGTGGACGTGGACATGGACGTGGACGTGGACATGGACGTGGACGTGGACGTGGAGGTGGACGTGGACATGGACGTGGACGTGGACGTGGACATGGACGTGAACGTGGACATGGACGTGGACGTGGACATGGACGTGGACATGGACGTGGACGTGGACGTGGGGACATAGACGTGAACGTGGACATGGACGTGGACGTGGACGTGGACATGGACGTGGACGTGGAGGACTTGGACGTGGACATGGACGTGGACGTGGATGTGGACGTGGACGTGGACGTGGACATGGACATGGACGTGGACCTGGACGTGGACGTGGACATGGACGTGGACGTGGAGATGGACGTGGACGTGGACGTGGACGTGGACGTGGACGTGGACGTGGACATGGACATGGAAGTGGAGGTGGACGTGGACGTGGACGTGGACGTGGACATGGACGTGGACGTGGACGTGGACATGGACGTGGACGTGGACGTGGACATGGACGTGAACGTGGACGTGGACGTGGACCTGGACGTGGACGTGGACGTAGACGTGGACATTGTCGTGGACGTGGACGTGGACGTGGACGTGGTCGTGGACGTTGACGTGGACGTGAACGTGGACTTGGACGTGGACGTGGACGTGGACATGGACGTAGACGTGGACGTGGATGTGGACGTGGACGTGGACGTGGAGGACTTGGACGTGGACATGGACGTGGACGTGGACGTGGACGTGGACATGAACGAGGACGTGGACGTGGACGTGGATGTGGACGTGGACGTCGACGTGGACATGGGCGTGGACGTGGACGTGGACGTGGACGTGGACTTGGACATGGACGTGGACGTGGACGTGGACATGAACGTGGACGTGGACGTGGACGTGGACATGGACGTGGACGTGGACGTGGACATGGAGGTGGACGAGGACGTGGACATGGACGTGGACGAGGACGTAGACATGGACGTGGACGTGGACGTGGACATGGACGTGGACGTGGACGTCGACGTTGACATGGACGTGGACGTGGAGGTGGACGTGGACGTGGACGTGGACGTGGACATTGACCTGGACGTGGACATGGACGTGGACGTGGACGTGGATGTGGACGTGGACGTGGAGATGGACGTTGACGTCGACGTGGACGTAGACGTGGACGTGGACATGGACGTGGACGTGGACATGGACGTGGACGTGGACGTGGAGGTGGACGTGGACATGGACGTGGACGTGGACGTGGACGTGAACGTGGACATGGACGTGGACGTGGACATGGACGTGGACATGGACGTGGACGTGGACGTGGGGACATAGACGTGAACGTGGACATGGACGTGGACGTGGACGTGGACATGGACGTGGACGTGGAGGACTTGGACGTGGACATGGACGTGGACGTGGATGTGGACGTGGACGTGGACGTGGACATGGACATGGACGTGGACCTGGACGTGGACGTAGACATGGACGTGGACGTGGACGTGGACATGGACGTGGACGTTGACGTGGACGTGGACATGGACGTGGAGATGGATGTGGACGTGGACGTGGACGTGGTTGTGGACGTGGACGTGGACGTGGACGTGGACGTGGACGTGAAGGACTTGGACGTGGACATGGACGTGGACGTGGACGTGGACGTGGACGTGGACGTGGTCGAGGACGTGAAGGACTTGGACGTGGATGTCGACGTGGACGTGGTCGTGGACGTGGACGTGGACATGGACGTGGACGTGGACGTGGACGTGGACGTGGAGTGGACGTGGACGTGGACGTGGACGTGGACGTGGACATGGACGTGGAGATGGACGTGGACGTGGACGTCGACGTGGACATCGACGTGGACGTGGACGTGGACGTGGACGTGGACCTGGACGTGGACGTGGACGTGGACGTGGACGTCGACGTGGACATCGACGTGGACGTGGACGTGGACGTGGACCTGGACGTGGACGTGGATGTGGAGGACTTGGACGTGGACATGGACGTGGACATGGACGTGGACGTGGACGTGGACATGGACGTGGATGTGGACGTGGACGTGGACGTGGACATGGACGTGGACGTGGACGTCGACGTGGACGTGGATATGGACGTGGACATGGACGTGGACATGGACGTGGACATGGACGTGGACGTGGACGTGGACATGGACGTGGACATGGACGTGGACGTGGACATGGACGTGGACGTGGACGTGGACATGGACGTGGACATGGACATTGACGTGGACGTGGACATGGACGTGGATGGGACGTGGACGTGGACGTGGACATGTAAGTGGACGTGGACGTGGACGTGGACGTGGACGTGGACATGGACGTGGACGTGGACGTGGACATGGACGTGGACGTGGACGTGGACGTGGACATGGACGTGAACGTGGACGTGGACGTGGACCTTGACGTGGACGTGGACGTAGACGTGGACATTGTCGTGGACGTGGACGTGGACGTGGACGTGGTCGTTGACGTGGACGTTGACGTGGACGTGGACGTGGACTTGGACGTGGACGTGGACGTGGACATGGACGTAGACGTGGACGTGGACATGGACGTGGACGTAGACGTGGAGGACTTGGACGTGGACATGGACGTGGACGTGGACGTGGACTTGGAGATGAACGTGGACGTGGACGTGGACGTGGACATGGAGGTGGACATGGACGTGGACGTGGATGCTCTTGGACCAGGCAAGCTCTTGGACTAGGCAAGCTCCTCGACCACGCAAGTTCTTGGACCAGGCACGCTCCGGGCCCACGCAAGCTCTTAGGCCAGACGGGCTTGTGGACCAAGCAAGCTCTTGGACGAGGCAAGCCCCTGGACCACGCAAGCTCCCAGACCAGGCAAGCTTCTCGACCAGGCAAGCTCCTGGACCAGGCACGCTCGTGGACCAGGCACGTTCCTGAACCAGGCAAGCTCTTGGACTAGGCAGTATCGTGGACCAAACACGCTCTTGGACCAGGCAAGCTCCTGGACCAGGCAAGCTCCTTGACCAGGCAAGCTCCTGGACCAAGCACGCTTCTGGACCTGGCACGCTCCTAGACCAGGCAAGCTCCTCGACAAGGCAAGCTCCTGGACCACGCAAGCTCTTGGACCAGGCACGCTCCTAGACCAGGCAAGCTCTTGGACCAGGAACGCTTCTGGACCAAGCAAGCTCCTGGACCAGGCAAGCTCCTAGACCAGCTAGCTCTTGGACCAGGCAAGCTCCTGTACCAGGCAAGATCTTGGACCAAGCAAGCTCCTGGACCAGGCAAGCTCCTAGACCAGGCAAGCTCCTGGACCAGGCACGCTCGTGGACCAGGCAAGCTCCTGGACCAGGCAAGCTCCTGGACCAGGCAAGCTCCTGGACCAGGCAAGCTCCTCGACCAGGCACGCTCGTGGACCAGGCACACTCTTGGACCAGGCAGGCCCCTGGACCTGGCAAGCTCGTGGACCAAGCAAGCTCTTGGATCATGCACGCTCGTGGACCAGGCACGCTCGTGGACCACGCAAGCTCTTAGACCAGGCAGGCTTGTGGACGAGGCAAGCTCCTGGACCAGGCAAGCTCTTTGACCAGGCAATCTCCTGGACCAGGCACGCTCGTGGACCACGTTCAATCGTGGACCAGGCAATCTCTTGGACCACGCAAGCTCCTGGACCACGCAAGCTCTTGGACCAGGCACGCTCCTGGACCAAGCAAGCTCTTGGACCAGGCAAGCTTCTGGACCAAGGAAGCTCCTGGACCACGCAAGCTCCTGGACCAGGCAAGCTCCTGGTCTAGGCAAGCTCCTGGACCAAGCTAGCTCTTGGACCAGGCAAGCTCTTGGACCAGGCAAGCTCTTGGACCAGGCAAGCTCTTGGACCAGGCAAGCTCCTTGATCAGGCAGGCTTGTGGACGAAGCACGCTCCTGGACCAGGCAAGCTCCTGGATCAGGCAAGCTCCTGAACAAGGCAAGCTCCTGGACCGAGCAAGCTCCTAGACCAGGCAAGCTCCTAAACCAGGGAAACTTGTGGACCAGGCACGCTCCTGGAACAAGCAAGCTCCTATACCAGGCAAGCTCCTAGACCAGGGAAGCTACTGGACCAGGCAAGCTCCTGGACCAAGCAAGCTCCTGGACCAGGCAAGCTCTTTGACCAGGCAAGCTCCTGGACCAGGCAAGCTCCTAGACCACGCAAGCTCCTGGACCAGCCAAGCTCCTGGATCAGGCACGCTCGTGGACGAGGCACGCTCGTGGACCAGGCAAGCTCTTGGACCGGGCAGGCTCGTGAACCAGGCATGCTCCTGGACCAAGCAAGCTCCTGGACAACGCAAACTCGTGGACCAAGCACGCTCCAGGACCAGGGAAGCTCCTGGACCAGAAAAGATCCTAGACCAGGCAAGCTCCTAGACCAGGCAAGCTCCTGGACCAGGCACGCTCCTGGACCAAGCAAGCTCCTAGACCAGGCAAGCTCCTGGACCGGGCAAGCTCTTGGACCATTCACGCTCGTGGACCAAGCAAGCTCTTGGACCAGGCAAGCTGTTAGACCAGGCAAGCTCCTGGACCAGGCAGGCTCCTAGACCACGCAAGCTCGTGGACCAAGCAAGCTCCTGGACCAGGCAAACTCCTGGACCAGGCGAGCTCCTAGACCAGGCAAGCACCTGGACCACTCAAACTCGTGGACCAAGCACGCTCCAGGACCGGGCAAGCTCCTGGACCAGGAAAGATCCTAGACCAGGCAAGCTCCTGGACCAGGCAAGATCTTGGACCGGGCAAACTCGTGGACTAGGCAAGCTCCTGAACCACGCAAACACATGGACCAGGCACGCTCCTGGACCAGGCAAGCTCCTGGACCAGGCAAGATCCTAGACCAGGCAAGCTCCTGGACCAGTCAAGCTCCTGGACTGGGGAAACTCGTGGACCAGGCACGCTCCTGGACCAAGCAAGATCCTGGACCAGGCAAGCTCCTGGACCAGGCAAGCTCTTGGACCAGGCACGCTCCTGGACCAAGCAAGCTCTTGAACAAGGCAAGTTGTTGGACCAGGCAAGCTCCTGGACCAGGCAAGCTCCTAAACCACGCAAACTCGTGGACCAAGTACGCTCCAGGACCAGGCAAGCTCCTGGACCAGGAAAGATCCTAGACCAGGCAAGCTTGGCCCTTGTTCTTGCAATTTTGCATACGCTAGGCCCTTGTTCTTGCAATTTTGCACACGCTAGGCCCTTGGTCTTTTTATTTTGCACACGCTAGGCCCTTGTTTTTTTTTTTTTGCACACGCTAGGCCCTTGTTCTTGCAATTTTGCACATGCTAGACCCTTGTTCGTTTTATTTTGCACACTCTAGGCCCTTGTTCTTGCAATTTCGCAAACGCTAGGCCCTTGTTCTTGATTTTTTGCAGACGCTAGGCCCTTGCTCTTGCTATTTTGCACTCGCTAGGCCCTTGTTCTTGCAATTTTGCACACGCTATGCCCTTGTTCTTGCAATTTTGCACACGCTAGGCCCTTGTTCTTTTTATTTTGCACACGCTAGGCCCTTGTTCTTTTTATTTTGCACACGCTAGGCCCTTGTTCTTGCTATTTTGCACACGCTATGCCCTTGTTCTTGCAATTTTGCACAAGCTAGGCCCTTGTTCGCTCTATTTTGCACACGCTAGGCCCATGTTCTTCTTATTTTGCACACGCTATGCCCTTGTTCTTTTTGTTTTGCACACGCTATGCCCTTGTTCTTTTTATTTTGCACAGGCTAGGCCCTTGTTCTTGCAATTTTGCACATGCTAGACCCTTGTTCTTTTTATTTTGCACACGCTAGGCCCTTGTTCTTGCTATTTCGCGAACGCTAGGCCCTTGTTCTTGATTTTTTGCACACGCTAGGCCCTTGCTCTTGCTATTTTGCACTCGCTAGGCCCTTGTTTTTGCAGTTTTGCACACGCTAGGCCCTTGTTCTTGCATTTTTGCACATGTTAGGCCCTTGTTCTTTTTATTTTGCACACGCTAGGTCCTTGTTCTTGCTTTTTCGCGAACGCTAGGCCCTTGTTCTTGATTTTTTGCACACGCTAGGCCCTTGCTCTTGCTATTTTGCACTCGCTAGGCCCTTGTTCTTGCAATTTTGCACAAGCTAGGCCCTTGTTCTTGCAATTTTGCACACGCTTGGCCCTTAATCTTTTTATTTTGCACACGCTAGGCCCTTGTTCTTGTTATTGTGCACACGCTATGCCCTTTTTCTTTTTATTTTTCACACGCTATGCCCTTGTTCTTTTTATTTTGCACATGCTAGGCCCTTGTTCTTGCAATTTTGCACATGCTAAACCCTTGTTCTTTTTATTTTGCACATGCTAGGCCCTTGTTCTTGCTATTTCGCGAAGGCTAGGCCCTTGTTCTTGATTTTTTGCACACGCTAGGCCCTTGCTCTTGCTATTTTGCACACGCTAGGCCCTTGTTTTTGCAATTTTGCACACGCTAGGCCCTTGTTCTTTTTATTTTGCACACGCTTGGCCCTTGTTCTTGCAATCTTGCACATGCTTGACCCTTGTTCTTTTTATTTTGCACACGCTAGGCCCTTGTTCTTGCTATTTTGCACACGCTAGGCCCTTAGTCTTGCAATTTTGCACACGCTAGGCCCTTGTTCTTTTTATTTTGCATACGCTAGGCCCTTGTTCTTTTTATTTTGCACACGCTAGGCCCTTGTTCTTGCTATTTTGCGAACGCTAGGCCCTTGTTCTTGATTTTTTGCACACGCTAGGCCCTTGTTCTTTTTATTTTGCACACGCTAGGCCCTTGTTCTTGCAATTTTGCACACGCTAGGCCCTTATTCTTGCAATTTTGCACACGCTAGGCCGTTGTTCTTTTTATTTTGCACACGCTAGGCCCTTGTTCTTTTTATCTTGCACACGCTAGGCCCTTGTTCTTGCTATTTTGCACACGCTATGCCGTTGTTATTTTTTTTTTGCACACACTAGGCCCTTGTTCTTGCAATTTTTCACATGCTAGACCCTTGTTCTTTTTATTTTGCACACGCTAGGCCCTTGTTCTTGCTATTTCGCGAACGCTAGGCCCTTTTTCTTAATTTTTTGCACACGCTAGCCCTTGCTCTTGCTACTTTGCGCTCGCAAGGCCCTTGTTCTTGCAATTTTGCACATGCTAGACCATTGTTCTTTTTTTTTTGCACACGCTTGGCCCTTGATCTTGCTATTTTGCACCTGCTAGGCCCTTGTTCTTGCAATTGTGCACACGCTAGGCCCTTGTTCTTGCAATTTTGCACACGCTAGGCCCTTGTTCTTGCAACTTTGCACTCGCTAGGCCCTTGTTCTTTTTATTTTGCACACGCTAGGCCCTTGTTTTTTTTATTTTGCACACGCTAGGCCCTTGTTCTTGCTATTTTGCACACGCCATGTTCTTGTTCTTTTTATTTTGCACACGCTATGCCCTTGTTCTTTTTTTTTTTGCACATGCTAGGCCCTTGTTCTTGCTATTTCGCGAACGCTAGGTCCTTGTTCTTGAATTTTTTGCACACGCTAGGCCCTTGCTCTTGTTATTTTGCACTTGCTAGGCCCTTGTTCTTGCAATTTTGCACGTGCTAGGCCCTTGTTCTTGCAATTTTGCACACGCAAGACCCTTGTTCTTGCAATTTTGCACACGCTAGGCCCTTGTTCTTTTTTTTTTTGCACACGCTTGGCCCTTGTTCTTGCAATTTTGCACATGCTAGACCCTTGTTCTTTTTATTTTGCACACGCTAGGCCCTTGTTCTTGCTATTTTGCACACGCTAGACCCTTGGTCTTGCAATTTTGCACACGCTAGGCCCTTGTTCATTTTATTTTGCACACGCTAGGCCCTTGTTCTTGCAATTTTGCACGTGCTAGGCTCTTGTTCTTGCAATTTTGCACGCGCTAGGCCCTTGTTCTTGCAATTTTGCACACGCTAGGCCCTTGTTCATTTTATTTTGCACACGCTAGGCCCTTGTTCTTTTTTTTTTGCACACGCTATCTCCTTGTTCTTCTTATTTTGCACACGCTAGGCCCTTGTTCTTGCTATTTCGCGAACGCTAGGCCCTTGTTCTTGATTTTTTGCACACGCTAGGCCCTTGCTCTTGCTATTTTGCACTCGCTAGGCCCTTGTTCTTGCAATTTTTGACACGCTAGGCCCTTGTTCTTGTATTTTTGCACACGCTAGGCCCTTGTTCTTTTTATTTTGCACACGCTATGCCCTTGTTCTTTTTATTTTGCACACGCTAGGCCTTTGTTCTTGCAATTTTGCAGATGCTAGACCCTTTTTCTTTGCATTTTTGCACACGCTAGGCCCTTGTTCTTGCTTTTTCGCGAACGCTAGGCCCTTGTTCTTGATTTTTTGCACACGCTAGGCCCTTGCTCTTGCTATTTTGCACTCGCTAGGCCCTTGTTCTTGCAATTTTGCACATGCTAGGCCCTTGTTCTTGCAATTTTGCACACGCTTGGCCCTTAATCTTTTTATTTTGCACACGCTAGGCCCTTGTTCTTGTTATTTTGCACACGCTATGCCCTTGTTCTTTTTATTTTTCACACGCTATGCCATTGTTCTTTTTATTTTGCACATGCTAGGCCCTTGTTCTTGCAATTTTGCACATGCTAAACCCTTGTTCTTTTTATTTTGCACATGCTAGGCACTTGTTCTTGCTATTTTGCGAAGGCTAGGCCCTTGTTCTTGATGTTTTGCACACGCTAGGCCCTTGCTCTTGCTATTTTGCACTCGCTAGGCCCTTGTTCTTGCAATTTTGCATACGCTAGGCCCTTGTTCTTACAATTTTGCACACGCTAGGCCCTTGTGTTTTTTTTTTTGCACACGCTAGGCCCTTGTTCTTTTTATTTTGCACACGCTATGCCCTTGTTCTTTTTATTTTTCACACGCTAGGCCCTTGTTCTTTTTATTTTGCACAGGCTAGTGTCAGATTATTATAGCTGATGCATGTTTGTAGGCTATAGTGGGGTAGCACATATGGGGTACAGTTTGCTAGGGTTGTATTTGTACCCAACTCTGACTTAGTCAATTCATTCCTGTTCAGTTAGTTTCACATGGTATAGAGCGGGTCCCTCCTAAGGACCGTTCTTTGGGCCCACCCACGATTTTTTTTTCCTGCCCGGAGCGCGCCCTATTCTCCCCGAGGCGCGCTCCCCCTAGTGCGCGTCGAGCTGCCCTTGTGGCGCCCCGAGAGTCGCGCGCGCGACTCATTTTTTTTTTCGCGCGCGCGGTTCAGGCCCCACTTCGCGCGGCCCTTACAGCCGCGCCGCGCCGCCCTCAAGACGGCCGCGCGGCCTCTTCGTCGCTGCAGCAGGCCCCCCCCCCCCCCCCCCGCTGCACCTCTGTCGGCCTCGCAGCCGCCTTACCTGACGGCCGCCGCCTCACCTGACGGCCCGCCGCCTCGACTTCTGGCCCGCCACCTCACCAGACGGCCCCCCCGCCTCACCTGACGGCCCACCGTCTCACCTGCTGGCCCGCCACCTTACCTGACGGCCCCGCCGCCTCACCTGACGGCCCGCCGCCACCTTACCTGACGGCCCCGCCGCCTCACCTGACGGCCCGCCGCCTCACCTACTGGCCCGCCACCTGACTTGACGGCCCCGCCGCCTCACCTGACGGCCCGCCGCCTAACCTGCTGGCCCGCCACCTCACCTGAAGGCCCGCCGCCTCACCCGCTGGCCCGCCACCTGACCTGACGGCCCCGCCGCCTCACCTGCTGGCCCGCCACCTGACCTGACGGCCCCGCCGCCTCACCTGACGGCTCGCCACCTCGCCTGCTGACCCGCCACCTGACGGCTCCGCCGTCCCCTGTCCCGGCCCCGCCGCTGCACCCTGACGGCCCCGCCGTCCCCTGTCCCGGCCCCGCAGCTGCACCCTGACGGCCCCGCCGAGCCGCCCAGCAGCAGCCGAGCCGCCCAGCCGCAGCCGAGCCGCCCAGCGGCAGCCGAGCCGCCCAGCAGCAGCCGAGCCGCCCAGCAGCAGCCGAACCGCCGAGCAGCAGCCGAGCCGCCCGGTACCCGAGACGCCCGAGCCGCCCGAGCCGCCCGAGCCGCCCGAGCAGCCCGAGCCGCCTGCTGCTGACCTACCCGACTCTCCCATCCTGGTGAGACTTTCAGCTGCTGCCATGGCCACCCCCAAAATCTCACTTTTGACGCTGAGGGGAGGGCCATTGACTTTGCCGTCTGGATCGAGGACCTGCAGCTGTACTTACTGTGTGATGCGATAGATGAGGTCTCTCTCTTTGACTTTGTCTCTGGCGCTGTCCCTGCCCCGCCTGCTGATGCTGACTCTGCCGTTCGCTCCAAGTGGGCGACCCGCGATGCTGCTGCACGTCTTGCTGTGCGTCGCCACCTCCCTTCTTCTGAGCGTGCCCACTTTAGTCAGTGCAAGACCGCTCAGGCCTTGTACGACGCTGTAGTTGCGCGCTACTCCTCCCCTTCCTCCGCTACCCTTAGCCGCCTCATGCTACCGTTTCTCTTCCCTGACCTCGCTTCCTTTCCCACTGTCGCTGACCTCGTTACCCACCTCCGCGCTAGTGACACCCGCTACCGCGCTGCCCTTCCTGCTGAGTTCCGCGCTGCGAACCCTCCTCCCATGTACATCACTCTCTACTTTCTCGTCACCCGTCTCCCTGAGTCCCTTCGTGTCGTTAGGGACCAGTTTCTCTCTGTCTGTCCCACCACTCTCACTGTCGACCTCCTTGAGGAGTCCCTGCTAGCGGCTGAGAAGAGTATTGTCGCTGTAGGGGCCTCTCGGGGTGACCCTCGCACCCCCATCTTTGAGGGGTGTGGTCCCTCCCCCCTGCTGCCCTCTGTCGCCTCTGCCGCTGCGGCCGACCTCGTTGGTTTTGAGTCGGTCGGCGCGGCGTCTGCCCCCAGTGGCAGACGCCGCACTGGCAAGGGCAAGGGGGGCAAGGGAGCGGGTGGAGCCAGAGGGGGCGGTGGAGGAGGCGGTGGGGGTGGAGGGGGGAGTGGGGGTGGCGGGGGGGGTGGTGGCGGGAGTGGAGGTAGTAGTGGCGGCGGTGGAGGCGGAGGTGGCGGCGGAGGTGGTAGCGGAGGAGGCGGTGGGAGCGGTGGGAGCGACGGTCCTGGTGGGGGAGGTGGCGGTGGCGACGGGGGTGGCGGTGGAGGCGGGGGTGGCGGTGGAGGAGGGGGTCGGAGTGGCTCGTCCCAGCGGAGCAGCTCTGGGGGTGGTCAGCGCCAGCAGCAGCAGCAGCAGCAGCCACAGCAGCAGCCGCAGCAGCAGCAGCGCTCTCGCACCGTCCCCGGCCCTCAGCAGCTCCGTGAGTGGTACTTGCAGCGTCAGCGCGGTGGTGCGCTTGGTCCCTGCCCCTACGTTCTTCGCACTGGTGACCGTGCAGGGGAGAGGTGTGGAGGCGCCCACACAGCCCGTCGCTGCTTTGGCCGCCTGACCGACGCCTGGCGTCAGCAGTTTCCGGAGGCCGCTGAGATCCCCCGCTGGGGAGAGCTGTCTAGGGCTGGTGTAGCTATTTATGATCTTGATTTTGATGCTATTCTCTCTGCTATGTATGCTGTGACTGGTAGTGATGAGGATGACTGTTACCGGTGTTTCCCGCCCGACCCGGGCATTGGTACTGCCGCGTCAGGTACTAGTGAGGCTGCTGCTCTAGGTGCCAGTGCGTCTGTGCTTTCAGGTACTGGTGAGTCCGCCCTCTCAGGTACTGTGTCGGCTTCGGCCTCTCACACCTTCACCCTTGACTCTGGAGCGTCTCGCTCCTTCTTTAGGGACCGCACCACTCTCACGCCGCTGATTCGGCCTGTTGCGGTGTCCCTGGCGGACCCCTCTGGGGGGCCTGTCCTGTCTCGCTTCTCCACTGTCCTCCCGTGTCCGGCGGCCCCCTCTGGCACCCTGACTGGTCTCTACCTCCCCTCGTTCTCGACGAACTTGGTGAGTGGTGCTGACCTCCAGGATGCGGGTGTCCACCAGTTCACCCCTGCTCGTCAGCGGGTGACCCACTGCACGGAGGCGGATACAGGTCGCCACCTGGCTACGTTTACACGTCGGCCAGGGTCGAGCCTGTACACACTGACCACTGCTTCTCCTCCAGGTGCTGAGTCTGGTAGGGTCCCTTCGTCTGGTCAGGTGTTTGCTGCAGCGTCCAGGTCTGGTCCTGAGTCTGCCCCTTGTTCGTGTCGTCGTCTGTCTCACGAGACCCTCCTCTGGCACCACCGCCTTGGCCACCCCTCTCTGCTTCGGCTCAGAGGCATGGCCTCGCGGGTCCTTGTGTCTGGTCTTCCCCGGTCCCTCCCTCCCCTTCCTCCGGGCCCTGGCCCTGCCTGTGTCCCCTGTGTCGAGGGGCGCCAGCGTGCTGCCCCTCACTCCTCCCAGTTTCCTCCGACAGAGGCCCCGTTGCAGACGCTTCACATGGACGTGTGGGGCCCAGCCCGCGTCCGTGGACAGGGTCAGGAGCGCTACTTCCTGCTAGTGGTTGACGACTACTCGCGTTACACCACAGTCTTCCCCTTGCGCAGCAAGGGTGAGGTCACTCAGGTGTTGATCGACTGGATCCGCGCAGCTCGTCTTCAGCTTCGGAGAAGCTTTGGCTCTGACTTCCCTGTCTTGCGTCTGCACTCGGACAGAGGCGGAGAGTTCTCCTCGGCCCTCCTGAGTGCCTACTGTCGTGTGCGAGGCATCCGTCAGACCTTCACGCTTCCGGACTCACCACAGCAGAATGGGATCGCTGAGCGCCGCATTGGCATGGTCATGGACGTCGCTCGTACGTCCATGATGCATGCGGCTGCTCCCCATTTTCTGTGGCCGTTTGCGGTCAGGTACGCTGCGCACCAGATCAACCTCCACCCCAGGGTCTCTCGACCGGAGACCTCCCCAGCTCTGTTGTGGACGGGGACGGTTGGCGATGCGTCGGCGTTCCGGGTCTGGGGATCTCGGGCGTTTGTTCGCAACCTGTCTGCGGACAAGCTGTCCCCTCGTGCTTCTCCCTGCGTCTTCCTCGGGTTCCCCCCCGACGCCCCTGGGTGGCAGTTTTACCACCCCACCTCTCGACGTGTTCTGTCCTCCCAGGACGTCACGTTCGACGAGTCGGTACCCTACTACCGCCTCTTCCCCTACCGCACTCCGTCCCTCCCCCCACCCCCGCTCTTCTTGGTACCAGGTCCCCCCCCAGTTGTCCCCCTCCCCCCTCAGGGTCCTGCCCCTTCAGGTGTGTCTCAGGTAGACGCGGTCGAGCCTGTCGAGGTCACTGGTGACTCCGGTGCTGCTGCGGGAGCTGAGCCTGGGGGTGCGGAGTCTAGGGGTGCTGAGCCTGGGGGTGCTGAGCCTGGGGGTGCGGAGTCTGGGGGTGCTGGGCCTGGGGGTGCTGAGCCTGGGGGTGCTGTGCCTGGGGGTGCTGAGCCTGGGGGTGCTGTGCCTGGGGGTGCTGTGTCTGGGGGTACTGAGCCTGGGGGTGCTGAGCCTGGAGGTGCCGAGCCTGGAGGTGCTGTGCCTGGGGGTGCTTCGTCTCGCCGGGAGCCGCTCTCTCCACAGGAGCTGCGTGAGTGGTTTGCCCGGCGCTGGAGGCGTGCCGCTGGTGCTGGTGGTTCTTCGGCAGCGGAGGGCGCTGCTGCCACGCGACCTGGCGGTGCTCGTCCTGTGGGTGCTGGAGCTGCTGGGTCTGAGGGTTCTCCTGGAGCTGGTCCTGCTGAGGACGTTGGCGCTGAGCCTGCGGTTGGTGGTCCGACTGACGGTGCTCCTGGTGCTGCTGCTGGAGGTTCGGGAGCTTCTGGTGGTTCTGCTGGAGGTGCTGCTGGAGTGGGTGCTCCTGCCGGGGGTGCTGGTGCTGTTCCTGCTGTTTCTGGCGTCGCCGCGCGGCCCCGACCGTACTTCGTTCCGCTCCTGCAGCAGGTTCTTGGTCTTACACCTCCTCCTCCTCCCTTAGAGGGTCCGCAGCCTGTCCGGTCACAGCCACAGCTACAGCCTGCCTCCCCTTTGCCTGCTCCTTCTCCCTACACTGGTCCGACTGGAGGCCTTACTGAGCGTCGTGAGCCTGCGTCTCGTCCTGCGTCGCCTGTTCGTACTGAGCGCGCTAGTGGTCGCGGGTCGCGTCAGCGTCCTCCTCCTGTCCCTGGCACGCACCGGATGTCACTGCGTCCGTCCACTGCTCCTCTGCGTGCCCCTTTGCCTTCTCCTCCTGCTTCCTCTCTTCCTGCTCTTGCCGACCCGGAGTCGGACTCTCTTCGTGCTGCCAGTCCTACTGTCACGCGTCTCCTTGCTACTGCTGTCACTGACCCTTCCTTCGAGTCGTCTGCTGCGTCTGCCCTTGTCACTGAGCTTGTCGACTTTGCTGCGCGCTGTCGTCTAGACTACGCTGCTCGTCTTGTCGCTGAGTCTGAGTCCGCCTGTCCTCCGTCCGTCGGGGGTGAGTCTGCCCTTGGCACGGACGTCCTAGAGGACAGGCAGGAGGAGTTCCAGTGTCTAGCCGCTGCTTCACCTCGTCTCGCGTCTGTACTGCTAGCCCCTGAGGGAGACCCGGATGCACTAGACATCCCGACTCCGCGTTCTTACGCGGAGGCCGTAGAGGGTCCCTACTCCTCTCAGTGGCAGGCAGCTATGGATGCAGAGATGGCTTCCTGGAAGTCCACAGGCACCTACGTTGACGCGGTTCCCCCTCCTGGGGCGAACATCGTCAGCGGCATGTGGATCTTCAGGGTGAAGCGGCCGCCGGGCTCGCCGCCTGTCTTCAAGGCGCGTTACGTGGCTCGTGGCTTCAGTCAGCGGCAGGGAGTTGACTACTTTCAGACCTTCTCTCCCACCCCGAAGATGACCACTCTTCGGGTGCTGCTGCACATTGCCGCTCAGCGCGACTACGAGCTTCACTCTCTCGACTTCAGCACTGCGTTCCTGCAGGGTAGCCTGCACGAGGAGATCTGGCTGCGCCGTCCGCCTGGCTTCACTGGGACTTTCCCTCCTGGCACCCAGTGGAGCCTCCGACGGCCAGTCTACGGTCTCCGCCAGGCACCGCGTGAGTGGCACGACACACTGAGGACTACGCTTGCGGCTCTTGGGTTTGCTCCTTCTACTGCTGACCCGTCGCTGTTTCTTCGCACCGACACTTCCCTGCCGCCGTTCTACATCCTCGTGTACGTCGACGACTTGGTCTTTGCCACAGCGGACACTGCTGGACTCGCCTACGTGAAGTCCGAGCTGCTGAAGAGACACACGTGCACAGACCTGGGTGAACTGCGCAGCTACCTTGGCTTGCAGATCACTCGGGACAGAGCACGCCGCACCATTACCCTGACTCAGTCACACATGGTGCAGCAGGTCCTTCAGCGCTTCGGCTTCACGTACTCCTCGCCTCAGGCCACTCCTCTGCCTACTCGCCACTCACTCTCAGCTCTGCCTTCGGATGAGTCCGTAGAGTCGAGTGGTCCGTATGCAGAGCTTGTTGGCTGCCTCATGTACCTGATGACCTGCACACGACCTGACCTTGCATACCCTCTGAGCATCCTTGCACGCTATGTTGCTCCTGGGAGACACCGACCAGAGCACATGGCTGCAGCGAAGAGGGTATTGCGCTACCTGTGCAGTACGTCGGGCATGGGGCTAGTGCTTGGAGGGCGGAGTCCAGTGGTCCTTACTGGGCACGCAGACGCTTCTTGGGCTGACGACCAGGCTACGCAGCGGTCGTCACAGGGTTACACCTTCAGCCTTGGTTCCGGCTCTGTCTCGTGGCGGTCTACTCGCTCGTCTTCGGTTCTCGGCTCCAGTTGTGAGGCTGAGATCTACGCCGGGGCCATGGCTGCACAGGAGCTTCGCTGGCTCACCTACCTGCTGACTGACCTTGGAGAGCTGCCTCGTTCTCCTCCAGTGCTGTACGTAGACAACAAGGCCATGTTGGCCTTGTGTCGAGAGCAGCGCTTGGAGCACAGAACGAAGCACATTGCTCTCCGCTACTTCCTTGCTCGTGAGCTGCAGCAGCGTGGTCAGTTGCGACTTGCTTACGTGGCCTCTGAGGCCAACACTGCTGATGTGTTCACCAAGGCACTTGCGCCTTGCGACCATCAGCGCTTTTGTACCCAGCTGGGTCTTGTACCTGTCTTGCCTCACTTGCTCTCTTCTTGACTTTACTTGTACTTTGACATATATATACCTGCTCTTGCTTGTCTAGTTTTTATATATATGTCTGTACTCCTGCATGTGAACTGGCCTCTGGCCTTGCTCTTGTGCTCGGACTGTGTGGTGACTTTGTGATCCACCCTGAGCTTGTTTTGCTTTGCTTGACTGGTCTTGTGACCCCTTGTTCTCCCCCACTTTGCCTATGGGGGTGTGTCAGATTATTATAGCTGATGCATGTTTGTAGGCTATAGTGGGGTAGCACATATGGGGTACAGTTTGCTAGGGTTGTATTTGTACCCAACTCTGACTTAGTCAATTCATTCCTGTTCAGTTAGTTTCACAGCTAGGCCCTTGTTCTTGCAATTTTGCACATGCTAGACCCTTGTTCTTTTTATTTTGCACATGCTAGGCCCTTTTTCTTGCTATTTCGCGAACGCTAGGCCCTTGTTTTGATTTTTTGCACACGCTAGGCCCTTGCTCTTGCTATTTTGCACTCGCTAGGCCCTTGTTCTTTTTATTTTGCACACGCTAGGTCCTT